AATCAAAGGTTATTAAGCTTGATTAAGTTCAATAGTGAGAAAAGCCCACAGCTATCGGAATAGTTTCCGTGGTTCAATGAGTGTAGACCACTATCATCATCATCGCACATTATGATGTTTGAAATATATGTTTACATTTTAAAGGCATTTTGAATCTTTTTCTTGGAAATTTTGGCTTTAAAAAAACAGTTTTCAAGATTGATGAATAAATTTGAGAACAGTTGATCATCGGACTAGTGTGATCTAAAAAGTAGTGCTTTAGTTGAGGGTAGTCAATCTTTTAAAAATCGCCACCATGAATTATGTTGCAACATTGGTGTCATTAACAGATTATGCAACTTTTTGAGAAAAGTCGTAATAAGATTTGGCGCCAACTCAACCTATAATCGCCTCTTATAATAAAAAAAATATGATAGGTACCATTTGAATGGTTAATATATTAAAATATATCTCGATATATTCAAGTGTATTCTACTATCCCATCACAGCAAGCACTTTTGTGAAACTTACGCCAGGACTTTTTGAAATTTGTTTGATTTGATCAAAAATTGGTAAGAGAATCAAACACTTTCTTCTACTTTAGCCATTGTGTGATCCGGTTTGATTTTTAAAGTAAAAAAAATAATAATAAAAAGAAAAACATTGAATAACGGTAGCACTTTTTAAAGAAGAAAGGAAGGTAGGTCATCATGATCATTTTTTCAGAACAATGTTTTTTTTTTGGTTCCATTTGGGGTCCCAAACAACTATGCATAATTTGGGGATGATTGGTTGTCACCTGGCTTTCCGCATTGCGTTTGGAAATTAGTATGGGAAAACCTACTTCTTTTGCATCTTTATTACTAGGGACCACGATTTTGCACAAACCACGCATCTAAATACGTTAAAGTATAGCCCAGGAAGTGCATAAAAACTTTGCTCAAGGATGTATTGTTCTAGAATGCCTCTGAAAAAAAAAAGTTATAGCTGTTCAAAGATCAATGTTGCGAATAAATGCTAAAAATCCCTTTTTCTGCCAACACTGCCGGTGTACCAATGAAAGTCAGACTCCAAACTGAAATAATTTCGAAGTGGATTATTTGATCGGTTTGGTATGTTCATATGCAATATTCAAAAACTATAGATCTATCTCATATGCGTAGTCAGGGGGGGGGGGGAGGGGTGTCACTCATATCAGTAGAAGTAAAGTTTCAAACTGAAATAACTTCGGAGTTTCTTATCTTATCGATTTGGTATGTTCAGATGTATTCAAAAACATGTGCTACATATAATAGGCGTAGTTAGATATGGGGGGCTTACTGTATCCTTTTCGTCTTTTACTCATATCAATTAAAGTAAACATAAAAACTAAAATAACTTCGGAGTTTCCCATCTCTCGAGTTGTTTTGATGGGTTATTTAAAAGCATTTGCTCAATCTCATAAGAGCAGTTTGAAAGCGAATACCCCCATTCCCTTCCCTACTCTTTTGGTGGTGCAATATAATGTCAGATATATTCACACAAATGTCATTGGATTGTAATGATTATATTTCATTTTAATATATTCTACGATTTCTCAGGATACTCTTTTCGATGCTGTTCTATCCCCTGAAGCAAAAAGTGCTGTTAAACTAGGTCTCGGGTGAATTTCTTGATAAGTCAGAAATTAATTTCACACCTCCTTCAGCCATAGCACAAACGAAGTGACAGACGACTTACTGGCGAAGAAATCCATTAAAATAATGTGGTTCACTGTAATAGAATTTTCTTGGAAGCTTGTGCCATCATCCACCAGATGGGTTAGTTTTTTTGTTTTGATTTGAACAAAGTTGATTTTGTGTACAATGATTCTTTGACAGTGTGCAAAGAGTGCGTATCATTTTGTCATTTTTTTATGCATTTCAGTTTTGAGTAGAGTGAAAGAGATAGAACCAAAATATTCTAGTACATTTGGTGAAAATGCTAGTTCAATCCAATAGTAGTGTTGCCATGTGGTACAATCCAGTAGTACTGGTGTTGCCATGTGGTACACTGAAAAATTACAATAGAAGGTTAGTCACCAAAGTTTTCGAGCCTGTCACTTCGTTTGTGGCCATAGCGTTGACAACCATCAACGAAGCAACTCGTTGTATCGCATTGAAATAATTTGTATCATTACTCCACTCGTTTGAGCAGGGACGAATGACCGTTTACGGTTAAAGTCCCGTTAAAACATAGACAAGTCCACTCGTTTGCCGGTTTTTGCATGAAGCCGGTCGAAATTTCGAAAAGGAATCAGCACTGTTAGAAATTACGTTTGACTTGGGAGCCCAACTGAAACGTAGCCCACTTAAAGTTAGCCCAACAAGCTAAATCCGACTGTACCTGTGTCTGAGACGAAACTGGTGAAAACAGCTTCTGTTTTCTACTGTTTTTGGTTTTTGACGTACGACTACTTCTGTGTTTTCTATATGCGGGTGGCCCGAATGGCAGTTTAATATTTCAAATAAAAGCTTTTTATAGAAATAATATAGCAGTTGGACTAATAATTCAAACGGCATCTCCTCACTAACAAATGAACGGACAGGTAGATATTAAATATTTACACTCCTAAATTTTTCGTTTTAAAAATACTTACACACTAACTTTAGATTACTGGAGTCAGTAAAATATTACTGGGTTTTTGAATAATTTGCATTACCGAACTGTCCGTTAAGTCAATCTGTCAAAAATAACTGTTCATTCATTAATTGGTTCGAGTTGCGTATTTTGGAATTTTGTTTTGTTTATTTCGCTGCAAATTAACTGACAAGACAGTTATTTGGTTCATTATTGTACCGTGTTACCCAGTTATGTTAAAAAAGTGAATGTGCAGTCATAAAAGCACGAATCCTGGTGCCGTTTATAATATGCCAATTAATATGACGACTTAATCCTTTGACGTACCCCGGAACAGCGCATCGCGCATCGACAGTGAAAGCAAACAATGCAAACATCTATTTTGTTAATCAAAATTTGTTGGAGATCAATTGCGGCGGGAATAAAATTGACAGGTTAGAGTTTTACAATTCGTGGTCGGTAAAACAAGGTGGCTAATTTGCTGACCAGTCGGTAAAAATATAAAGACTACTTTGTGCACAGTAATTATTTTTACTGACTTTTCGTGAAATCACGAAAATTTTGAAATTAACGACTTTCTCGGTAAATAAATAATCTGTGTACAGTATTTTGCATCAAACGAAACCGAAGTTCAGTTTGTGTTTTACAGAACGTCGGTTATTCACCTGATGCAAAATTTGACTTTTTCGCTCCACAGTGCTTAAATGGTTTCAAATCGGGTCCTGATTAGCCTCCCAAAGTTACAACTCATTTGGTTAGAAACAGACTTCACACAAGCCATTTGAAGGTTACATGTAAATTACTATGGGAAATCTTAACTTTTTGTTCATTGCCTTCTAGTGTTTTTCCATATTGAGCTGCAAAACAGTTCGATAGCCATTCTTATAGAAAATTTTCTCACCTACAACTTTGCTGAAAATCGTTTCTATGTAAAACGAGACAGGAAAAAGTTATTAATTATTTAATAGATTGGTAAACTTATGACAAGATCAAGCAGCTGCTCTATAGGCAACACTGTATTTTGCAGTGTGACATAGTAGGGTAGAGCGCTACTTCGTCGTAATCGCCCATTTCCGTTCTATCCATCAGAAAAGATCAATAATATCAATGATTTCACCGTGCACAAATCAATAATAGGTTTGTTCCGAAGTGTCAGTTCATTAGCTACAACATAAATCCTATTAGAGCGCATTGTATGAATATTTACGATCATTGTTCTCAAAACAAAAGAAGCGCTCCTAGCGAATCCCCTTTTACTACGTTTATCCGTAGGACGAAGAAAATCTAATGGCGTTTCAATGCGTTAGGATGGAATTGAAATTCGTAGAACGAATTTAGAATTAAGAAGCAGTGTTAGATTTTTAACAATATCTCAATAATTTGTGAGTATTTATCAACTCAAACGGTACATATGGAAAAGTGAATAAATTTAAAATGCATCTTTGACAGAAATATTTCATTTTTTGATTAAACCCGTTCAAAAAAGAGATGTAAAGCGTGGGTTGTGCTTAGTAGGACGGAAATTAGATCAAAACCCCTAGACATGATTTTTGTGTCCTATTCAACGCCCCAATGTTGCCTGCTGAGCAGTTGATTGAGCATGATCATAAGACATCAGCGCATTGAACCATTGATAACTTTCGATCCTTGCATTTAATCAAAAAGTGGTCTCCAGCAAGTTGTAGTTGGGAAAATTTCCTACAAGTACAGTTGAAAGCTTTTGAAGCAGACCGATATGGTGAATTATTAGATAGACATGAACAAAAATCTTGGTTTTATCATAGTAATTCCCATACAAACTTCAAATGGTTTGTGCCATCTCAGTTTCTCACCAAATGGGTTCAAATTTTGAGAGGTTAGTCAGGATCCGATTTGGAATCGTTTAAGTATTTTGGAGCGAAAATTTCATTGGTTCATGCAAAATTGTGGTCTCTAGGGATAAAAATGCAAAAAAGTTGGTTTTCCCATACTAATTTCTATACAAATTTTAAACGCAATGCGGAAAGCTGAGTTACAACCATGTAACCGTCGTAGAACGTCCTCTTCCAGGACTCCTGGAAACACAGTGGCTTATGCGCCACTCTCGATAACGAGAGACCACTGGTCGTGTTTTTCTAAGGTTGCCCGGCTTAGCTATTGTTGCAGGAAAGCAAATCTCTAGGGTTTTCCGAACGGTTTCGAGGTGAATTCAAACGCAATGAAAATGAACTAAAAATGATTGCAACCGAAAACGAACGCAAAGCGGAACGTAACGCAGAAGTCACCCGGTGGACTGATTTACCACAGGAATCTTGAACGTAAATGAACGTAAAAAGGTAGTCTATGTTGAATTCATTTTATGTATATTGTCCTTCTTTTCTTAATTCTTCTGTGTGTGAGTGTATGTGTTGTATTGAGTGTTCATGGCCATGAATAAAACATACCTGCGCAGGGTTTTGCTGATGTGCTGGCAGCTGACAGTGCGGCAAGCGGAGGGTGCACGTATGCTGTGCGATGACTTAACGGTGTAGCGACGTAGCAGGGATGTAGCGTCGACGGTGGATGCTCACGAGAACAACGGCCGAACTAAAGGTGCGGGGGAGGTTGTCGGTGGGTGTTGGTACTCTACCAGATCATCCGTTCGAAGTAGCCAACGTGCTCCTAGTGGCCTTCACGTACTCTGATTCCGTTACGCAACCACTATGGAACGGAATGGAACCACCCCGTCAGGAATCGCAAGGCAGGCCAACGGAAAAACCTTTCGCCCCGTTTGACTGCCAGAAACTGGCGGGCCACAGAGCAGTCGCACCGGAAATATACCACGTGTACAAAGCCAGGTAAATGGCCAAGGGATTGCGTACGGGTTTCTAGCCCGTCATAAAAATGTCCGATGGACGCTCGCTTTTGTAGTAAACGCACAATGCACAAGGGCAGAGTATTCGCCCTTGTGATTTTAACACGCCAAAAAACATTAATTAGAATAAAACCGAAGATAAATACCACTAAGCTTACTTCTGCTCTCTAGCCGACAATTCTTTCAAGTGAACGAGAAATTTATTTTAAAGAGCTCTCGACCCCTCAAATTCTTCGAATCATCATGTTTGACGCATACCACGATTCATTGAATTATGTTGGACAAGTTAACTTATTGGCCATCTATTGATTCAACCATGAGCTAAAAAAGGCCTATTGCATTGGAAACGGCAATTATATTCAAATTTTAAAACTGCTATAACATAATAGTATGCGATGGATTGGATTTTTAGAATCGAAAAGGGGTGTTTGATGTTCTTGAATTGGAAAAAGTTCTAAACAAAAGAGATGCTCGAAATAATAGAAAAATATAATACAACCTAACGGAGAACGTTACAACCAATCGTCCCCAAATTTTGCAATCTAAAAAGAGTTATTCTCGATTGGTGAGGTAAAGTTTGCGTTTTTCCATATAACGATGACCCACTCTAGTAGATATGCAATTAATATTAATATAATTAATATATGAATTAACATAGTCCCAGTCGTAAATTCCCAGTGTTAAAACTTCCCATAAATTCCCACTAGGACCAATTGTTTCGAGCTGAAATTGCGAGGGCGTACAGTTGATGAACAGCACCTGCTCGGCTAAGCAGAAGTCCTCCAACTTTAGAGCCCCCGCGAATCGTTATGCCTCGCAATCTAGGATCCGAAACACTCACTAATGTTGCTCATCGAGCATTGTTACGATATCCGTCAATCTGGGGGCTTACATTGTGTGCTGCAATATATCAATATATAGCTACATCCCCAAAACTCCACCAGAACATGCCAACCATCTCCCACACACACTCTAACTGGTGTTCAATAAAAAATGAGATTTTTTTCAGTGATATAGCTAGTAAAAAAAATTTCAACGAATTCAGTATTTTAATAAAAAATAATGTTTATTCTTCAAAAAAACGTCAATGAATATTGGTCAGTCGTACGACGCAACTTAGTCGCGATGCTCTCACAAAAGCGCTGGACGGCACTGAAATCATTCTCATTTATTATTGAACACCCGTATCTATAATCACATATCAGTTTCATATGAAAATGTAGGCATAGAGAAATGGCCGTCGAAGTTACGAAGTGCTATTTCCATGTAAATATTTGAAAAATCATACTTAATATATTGATAATTGGTTGAAGATAAATTCAGTTGCAATAAAGCTTGCATTTTTTGTTAATTCTTCGAAAAATATGGCAATTCAAAATGCAGAACATTAACTTGAACTATGGACGATTGAATTTCAGGATGGGACTCATATGCGATTATTTCTTAGTTTAGTTTAGTAGTTTTATCACGTTAGGTATATGAAAGTAGATGCCAATTGATAATATATAGCGTTGCTATCTCAAAATTGACGAAAAAATTTACATGAGACTGATATGCGATTATGTGATTATAGGCGATCATTAATTTGATAAGAACAAAATAAAATATATGAAGATTAAACATGAAGATGCTTAAGGCCCAAACGCAATGTGGGCGGAAGCGGAACGGAAACGGAAAGTTTGACAGTTGTCACAAATGACATCAAGAAGCCTAACCGACGTCGATTTGGTTCTAACTAGTTTTCAATCGTACAAGTAGGCTTACTCAGATCGGGCTTTTCCGCTGCCGCTGCCGTTCCGCTTCCGCTGTCATTGCGCTTGGGCCTTTACTCCTGTTCCGTGCTCGAAAAGCGAGGATCTGAGATAAGATTGGAACTAGGGATAATATGAACACCCTACGGATTTTGACAAGTTTGATTTTTTTTATCTAGATCGTTTATTTGGAAGGCTCAATCGCGTTAGCATTACGTAGCCGATAATTCATTATTCTTTGTTTGTAGCAAAATTCACTTAATGCCATCCCGAGCAAGTAAAATTACAACCTGATATCATCTTGAAAACAAGTCTTGTTATTCCATATATCATCTTGTTTTCAGTTGTTATCACATTACAAATCTAGTTATCAACCTCGACTAATTTTGTTATCATGAAAGAATACGAAATGATGCAAGGTAAGTTCAAAACTTCAAATATTATCCGCATGGTAAGAATAAAAAAACACTGCCAATCATATTTTGGTTATCAGTGTAAGGCTTTAATACCAAATTGATAAATTAATTTGAAATTTGTTTAAAAAAATTGTAAGGATCACATAATTTGTTATCAAGATGTTTTCAATGATTACTAAATCAGCATTTTTTGTGATATCCAAAGAATATTCTTTTGTTATATTTTTTGTTACGTTGGCTGTTTATTCAACCACAATAATAACATGTTCAGTTATCAAATCTGGATAACCGGGTATCATAGCTTGTTGTCATTTTGGTATAATCCTTTGCTCGGGATCCCGAGCAAAGTAGAATAACAACCCGATATCATCTATATAACAAGTCTTGATTTCCCAGATATCATTTTGTTTTCACTTCTTATCGCATAACTTATTTAGTTATCACCCTTGATCAATTTTGTTATCATGGTATTATGAAAAATTCAATATTTATTTATTAACGATGCAATGTTAGTTCAAAACTTCAAATATTATTCGCATTGAAACAATAAAAAATAGTGCTTTTAATCCCTAATCATATTTCAGTTATCAGCGTAAGGCTTTGATATCAAAATCTCGGACATGATTTGAAATTTATGGAATAAATTTGTATGGCTTACAGAATTTGTTATCAAGATATTATCAATGATAACAAAATTAGTTATTTTTGTGATATCCAACGAGCAATTTTTTGTTATCATTTTTGTTATGTTGGCTGTTAATTCAACCATAATGATAACATATTCAGTTATCAAAAAGTGATAACCGGGTAATAGAACTTTTTATCAATTTGATATTTTACTTTGCTCGGGTACCCGAGCAAAGTAAAATCCCGAGCAAAGTAAAAAAACAACCTGATATCATCCTGAAACCAAGTTTTGTTGTTCCAGATATCATTTTGTTTTCAGTTGTTATCACATAACTAATTTAGTTATCAACCTCGACTAATTTTGTTATCAGTTTTTATCGTGAAAGAAAATGAAATGATGCAAGATAAGTTCAAAACTTCCAAAATCATCTGGATGGTAAGAAATAAAAACACTGCCAATCATATTTAATTTATCAGCATAAGGCTGTTATACCAAATCGATAAAATAATTTGGAATTTGTTGAAAAAATTCGCATGGATCACAGGATTTGTTATCAAGATGTTTTCAATGATAACTAAATCAGTTATTATTGTGATATCTAAGGAGTATTCTTTTGTTATAATATTTGTTATGTTGGCTGTATATTCAACCACAATGATAACATGTTCGGTTATCAAATCTTGTTATCAATCTAGTATAATCCTTTACTCGGGTAGGCAGAATACTCGCGGCTTACCCGAGGTTAAAGGGGTACATTGTCGAAAGATAGGATAAGGGGAGGAGCTTGGGGGTAGGGTTTTGTTGTCTCATCAGAGAGATGTCGCCAGTATGAACGGTAATGCCGTTCTAGTTTTGTATGGAGTTCGACCGGCTATGGTGAAGTGGGAACTCTATTTAAGTTTTGGGATGTTCGTAGAACTTAAACATTATTTAATTTTAGGGAACCTCATTATTGTTCGGGGATCTTCATATGATTTCACTTTATTGAAGTCTCGTGAGTTTGGATAGTTAAGGGAATTACGAACAAATTCAAGAAATTCCATACGTGGAAATTCGCGGAAAATCAACGAAAAGAAACGTAGAAGTGCAGCAAACTTTGTAGAATATTTGGGAATTTCGTAGTATTTTGAGAAACTGCATAAAACTTCATATAAGTGCAAGGAACTTCTAAGATCTTCAGGGACCGTTGCTTTAGTTAAGGAAACTTCGTTGCAGTTTGTCAGACATCTTAAGAGCTCAAAAGCTTTCGATTGGTGTCCGGCCATTTAGCCGAATTCCGTTTGGCCGAATGAGTCGTTTAGCCGGATGCCGTTTGGCCGAATACTTTGAGAGATTTACAATGTTTGAAAACTATTAGATTCCTAAATGGCAGCCCTAATAACGATCCATAGCTAAAATTCTACACAAAACTATCCCCCCCCCCCCCACTTATGCGACACTCAACAATCCAACGACTTAAAAATCAGAACCCCGTTAATCCGGAAAAATCCGGATTGAAAAATATTAACACGCATTTGAATACAATATGCTGTAAGTTTTCAGATTTATGCTGTAAGCATGCTATCAGTTTGTTTTGATTTTAAGTATGGGCAGTCGGATTAACTAACCCAAACCAGATAATCTGACCATGCTTATGTCGAATGATACTGTATAATAAAGACAAATGAAAAAAAAGTATCGATGAAATATTCAATAAACTGTGTACCCCTCAAATTTTTTAATATGCTCGTGGTTTTTTTTAGTTAGAGGAGCGCAGCGAAAGGAAAGCGTCTTCTACAAGCTTTTAGAAGTTTCTGTTAGAAGCTTATTTTATAAGCTTGTTTCTCAAATTACTTCTAACAGAAACTTTTTTTGAAAGCTTCTTTTAGTAGCTTCTTTTAGAAGTTTCTAGAAGATGCTTGCCCGTCGCTACGCTCCGTTAACGCAAACAAAAACAC